CCGACCAGAGCACATGGCTGCAGCGAAGAGGGTGTTGCGCTACTTGTGCAGTACGTCGGGCATGGGGCTAGTGCTTGGAGGGCGACGTCGAGTGGTCCTCACAGGTCACACAGACGCTTCTTGGGCTGACGACCAGGCTACGCAGCGGTCGTCACAGGGTTACACCTTCAGCCTTGGCTCCGGCTCTGTTTCGTGGCGGTCTACCCGCTCGTCTTCTTTTCTTGGCTCCAGCTGTGATGCTGAGATCTATGCAGGGTCCATGGCCGCACAGGAGCTACGCTGGCTCACACCATCTACTTGCTGACCTAGGAGAGCCACCTCGTTCTCCTCCAGTTCTGTACGTAGACAACAAGGCCATGCTGGCCTTGTGTCGGGAGCACAGACTGGAGCACAGAACGAAGCACATTGCTCTCCGCTACTTCCTGGCTCGTGAGCTGCAGCAGCGTGGTTTGCTGCGCCTTGCTTATGTGGCCCCTGAGGCCAACACTGCTGATATCTTCACCAAGGCCCTTCCGCCTTGTGATCATCAGCGCTTTTGTACTTTGCTAGGTCTTGTGCCTACTTGGCCTCACTTGCTCACTTCTTGACCTTGCTTGTACTGTGATCTTTCTATACCTGCACTTGCCTGTTTACCTTTGTATATGATCTTGCATGTGAACTGGCCTTGTGGCCTTGCTCTTGTGCTCGGATTGTGTGGTGACGTTGTGATCCACCCTGAGCTTGCTTTGCTTTGCTTGACTGGTCTTGTGACCTCTTGTTCTCCCCCACTTTGCCTATGGGGGTGTGTCAAACTCATATCATATAGCTTGTCTAGGCTATAGTGGGGTAGACACTATGGGGTACAGTTTCCTAGGGTTTCCTACTTGTACCCAACCTTGTGCTAGTTCATTCATTCCTCATTCTTCACATTCTACGTATTGCATGCCTCGTCAATCAATGGTTTTCTCAATTTCTTAGAGAAAATCTTGTCAAACTTCTATGAACACAGCAAGTAGTGAGAACATCAGTGGAATGCTACAATCACCCGCACAACCCTGTGCCCTCCTCCGTAGTCCACTCCCATTTTGGAAAGACTCTCGACAGTCGAATCAGCCCTCGACCGAAGATCTGCGGTTTATTGATATTACATGACTCGCCTGCACACCGTGAGGTCCTATTTAGAAGGTGGGAGGGAAATACAAAGTCCTCACTTTAGCTTAAAGGTATCTGGTACAGCCTGAGCATCTCAAGTTAGTTGGGTTCGGCCTAAAGTTTCGCCGCGAACCACTTCCGAGTCGCTCTCGCACCAATCACCACCTTTCTAACCCTTGCTTGTCCCGAGGTCTAGGATTCAACCAAAATTTGTACAGTCATTCTCTCAGTCACAGTCGCATTAAAAATTACTCCGCGCAATCATTTAACTCAACCCAAAAGAGCACTAGCTAGCTCGCAGGGCGTTACCGTTTTGCTTGTGAACGTTGGCTCTATGTGTAACGAAAAATCATTTTCCTTATTGGGGTTGACTACTGTCAATGGGAGTAGTGTTTGGCCCCGTCCTCGCTTGGGCGGAGCTGACCGCGGGACTGCAGGGGAACCGCGGGGCCGCGGGAGAACCGCGGGGCCGCGGGAGAACCGCGGGGCCGCGGGAAGACCGCGGGGCCGCGGGAGAACCGCGGGAAGACCGCGGGTCCGCGGGAGAACCGCGGGACCACGGGAGAACCGCGGGGCTACGGGAGAACCGCGGGGCCGCGGGAGAACCGCGGGACCGCGGGAAGACCGCGGGGCCGCGGGAGAACCGCGGGAGGGCCGCGGGACCGCGGGAGAACCACGGTGCCGCGGGAGGACCGCGGGGACCGCAGGACCGCGGGAGGGCCGCGGAACCACGGGAGGACCGCGGGTACCACGGGACCACGGGAGGACCGCGGGAGGGCCGCGGGAGACCATGGGACCGCAGGGACCGCGGTGGCCGCGGGTGGACGGCCGGGGGCCACGGGATACCCGGTCGACCAGGATACCCGGGCGACGTGTGCGAAGATCGCCGGGAAGTGGTTTCTGCGAGGACGACCTCGGGGGTGGTATCCTGAGGTCGACGTGGCTGGTGGGCGCCGTCACGGGTGGAGTGTCTGCGCTGGGCATGTGACGGGGAGTTGGACGCCAACCAGCTGCACGCACCTGCGAAGCAGGTGCACCGGTGTCCCGCGGATGCAACGTTGTGCAGCCGACTTATTGCAGCGTTGGCACACCGCGGACAGGCAACGTTGGCAAGCCGTGACTCTGCTTTGCTGGAGCGCGGTCGACCAAGTCGTGCTGGCACGCTGTCGACCGTGCTGCGCTGGCAGTCGACCAGTAGCCTTGCTAGGTCAGATGTAGTCTGTGTTGCCAATGTTGATTCAATAATTTTGAACTTTTGTTGTTGTGTTTTCCTAGTGGAACTTTTGCCAATTTTCCCCGTGAAATAGCAAGCAGTGTTAGCACTTGGAAACGACTAAGGAACGAACGAACGCTACGATCACTCTTGCCCCGTGCCTAGCCCGTAGTCTAGCTCCCGTTGCACTAGTTATCTCCGCAACTGCTATGCGTACAACCCCAAAATTTTGGACTTTGCACGTTCAGTCGACATCCACGATTGCGAAGCTGCTCCGCGTCGCCTTCGGTTTTCCACCCCCCAAACCTACACCTAGCCTCGCATTCCCGAGGTTCCCTCCTGTCAAACATTTATCATATAGCTTGTCTAGGCTATACTGGGGTAGACACTATGGGGTACAGTTTCCTAGGGTTTCCTACTTGTACCCAATCTTGTGCTAGTTCATTCATTTTTCCTCATTTCTTCACATGGTATAGAGCAGGTTACCTAGTGGGAACGCTTCCTTGGGCCCACCACTGAAATTTTCTTTTTTGACCGGAGCGTCAGTCGCTCCTGCCCGAGGCGCGCCTTGTCGGCCGCCCTTCTGACGAACTCTCTTAGAGGCCCCTCTCACGGCCCCTTGTGCCACCCTTAGCGGCCCCGTCACCGCCCCTAGCGGCCCCGTCGCCGCCCTTCCAGGCCCCTCGCAGCCCCTAGCGGCCCCGTCGCCGCCCCTACGCGGCCCCATCGCCGCCCCTAGCGGCCCCGTCGCCGCCCCTAGCAGCCCCGTCGCCACCTCTCTCCCTACACGGCCCCGTCGCCGCCCCTAAGCGGCCCCGTCGCCGCCACTACGCGGCCCCGTCGCCGCCCCTACGCGGCCCCGTCGCCGCCCCTAGCGGCCCCGTCGCCGCCTCTCTCCCTACGCGGCCCCGTCGCCGCCCCTACGCGGCCCCGTCGCCTCCCCTAGCGGCCCCGTCGCCGCCCCTACACGGCCCCGTCGCCGCCCCTAGCGGCCCTGTCGCCGCTCCCCTCCCTACGTGGCCCCGTCGCCGCCCCTACGCGGCCTCGACGCCGCCCCTACGCGGCCCCGTAGCCGCCCCTCGCGGCCCCGTCGCCGCTCCCCTCCCTACGCGGCCCCGTCGCCGCCCCTAGCGGCCCCATCGCCGCCTCTGCCGGCCCCGTCGCCGCCTCTACTGGCCCCGTCGCCGCCTCTACCGGCCCCTTCACCGCTGAGCCGCCCAGCAGCTGAGCAGCCGAGCCACCAAGCCGCCGAGCAGCCCAGCAGCTGAGCCGCCCAACAGCCGAGCCGCCGAGCCGCCCAGCAGCCGAGCCGCCGAGCCGCTGAGCCGCCGAGCTGCCCAGCAACCGGGCCGCAGAGCCGCCCGACACCCGAGCCGCCCAACAGCCGAGCCGCCAAGCCGCCCAGCAGCCGAGCCGCTGAGCCGCCGACCCGCCCAGCAGCCGGGCCGCCGAGCCGCCCTGCCGTCGAGCCGCTACTGTTCCTATCGGCGCGCCCCGGCCCTACTTACTCGGACTGCTGACAGCACTGTTCGCTCACAGTGGGCCACACGCGATGCTGCTGCCCGTCTTGCTGTGCGTCGCCACTTACCGACCACTGAGCGTGCGCACTTTAGCCAGTACAAGAGTGCTCAGACCTTGTACGACGCTGTAGTTGCACGCTACTCTTCCCCTGCCACTGCTGCACTTAGCCGCCTCATGCTACCGTACCTCTTCCCTGACCTTGCTGCCTTTCCCACAGTCGCTGACCTCATTATGCACCTTCGCACTAGCGACACTCGCTACCGCGCTGCGCTTCCTGCTGAGTTCTGTGCCAAGAACCCCCCCCCCATATACATCACCCTCTACTACATAGTCACCCGGCTCCCTGACTCCCTTCGCTTAGTCAGGGACCACTTCCTCTCAGTTTGCCCCACCACACTCACCATTGACCTCCTCGAGGAGCGCCTCATAGCAGTAGAGAAGAGCATAGTCCCTGTAGGAGCCTCTCGTGGTGACCCTCGCACCCCCGTCTTTGAGGGGTGTTCCCCTTCCCCCCTCTTGCCCTCTGTTTCTTCTACTGCTGCGGCCGACCTCGTTGGTTTCGAGTCGGTTGGCGCTGCGTCTACCCCTAGCGGGAGACGCCGCACCGGCAAGGGCAAGGGGGGCAAGGGCGCTGGAGGGGCTGGCGGGGGTGGTGGAGGTGGTGGTGGAGGCAGTGGAGGGGGTGGGGGTGGTGGTGGGAGTGGTGGCAGGGGTGGAGGTGTCGGTGGCAGCAGTGGAGGCGGAGGAGGCGGCGGCGGTGGCGGAGGGAGTGGAGGCGGCGGAGGTGGCGGAGGCGGCGGCGGCAGCGGTGTAGCTGGTCGCGGCTCTACGCAGAGGAGTGGCTCTAGTGGTGGTCAGCGCCAGCAGCAGCAGCGCAGTCGTGAGACCCTATCCCCTCAGTAGCTTCGTGAGTGGTATGCTGGGCGTCAGCGCGGTGGGGGTACTGGTCCTTGCACCTACGTCCTTCGTACTGGCGACCGCGCTGGTGAGCAGTGCGGGGGCCCGCACTCCACCCAGCGCTGCTTCGGCTGCCTGACGGACGCGTGGCGTCACCAGATCCCTCGCTGGGGAGAGCTGACTAGGGCGGGGGTTGCTATCTTTGATCTTGATTATGATGCTATTCTTGCTGCCATGTATGCTGTGTCTGATTATGATGCTATTCTTGCTGCCATGTATTCTTCCGCCTGACCCGGGCATTGAGGCTGCTGCTCTAGGTGCTGGTGAGGCTGCTGCTCTAGGTGCTAGTGCGTCTGCTGCCCCAGGTGCTGGTGAGTCTGCTCTTCCAGGTACCACGTCGGCTCAGGCCTTACACACCTTCACCCTTGACTCTGGTGCTTCCCGCTCCTTCTTTCGAGACCGCACCACGCTTACGCCGCTCAGTCAGCCAGTTGCGGTCTCCGTGGCGGACCCCTCTGGGGGTCCTGTGTTTGCTAGCTTCTCCACTGTCTTACCGTGCCTGGCAGCCCCCTCTGGCACCCTGTCAGGTCTCTACCTCCCCTCGTTCTCTACGAACTTGGTGAGTGGAGCTGATCTACAGGATAGGGGGGTTGACCAGTTCACTCCTGCGAGTCAGCGGGTGACCCACTGCACGTGTGCTCGGACGCGCCGACACTTGGCCACGTTTACCCGTCGGCCGGGGTCGAGCCTGTACACACTTACTACTGAGTCTCCTCCAGTTGCTGAGTCTGGTCAAGTAGCTGCGTCGAGTCAGGTGTTTGCTGCAGCGTCCTGGTCTGGTCCTGAGTCTGCTCCCTGCTTGTGTCGTCTCCTGTCCCACCAGACTCTCCTTTGGCACCACCGCCTTGGTCACCCCTCCCTGCCTCGTCTCCAAGGCATGGCCTCACGTGTCCTTGTCTCTGGTCTTCCCCGGTCCCTACCTCCCCTACCTCCGGGGCCTGCCCCTACCTGCGTCCCCTGCATTGAGGGGCGACAGCGCGCCGCCCCTCACTCCTCCGAGTTTCCTCCGATAGAGGCTCCGCTGCAGACTCTTCACATGGACGTGTGGGGCCCCGCCCGCGTCCGTGGCCAGGGTCACGAGCGTTACTTCCTGTTGGTGGTTGACGACTACTCGCGTTACACCACGGTGATCCCCTTGCGCAGCAAGGGTGACCTCACTGAGGTGTTGATTGACTGGATCCGCGCAGCTCGTCTCCAGCTCAGAGAGAGTTTTGGCTCGGACTTTCCTATTCTGCGTCTGCACTCTGACAGAGGCGGGGAGTTTTCCTCTGCCCGTCTGGGAGCCTTCTGTCAGAATGTTATCTTATGCTCTAGCCTGTAGTGGGGTGCTCTATAGCGAGTACAACCCATCTAGGGTTTCCTATTTGTATCCCCATTCTTGCTAGTGCAGCCCTCTTCTCTCTTCTAATTTTCACATGGTATCAGAGCAGGTCGATCCCCTTGGATCGATCCTGTGGGTGGGCTTACCACCTCCTTGCTTCCGCTGCAACTACTACCACTACTCTCGGTTCCGCACGCCCCGTGGCGTGCGGCAGTTTTTCTTCCCGCCGTGAGCCCCGAGGCGCGCAGCGGTTTTCTGCTCGCCGTGCGCCCCGAGGCGCGAGGCGGTTCTCTGCTCGCTGTGCGCCCCGAGGCGCGCGGCGGGCTTCTACCCCGTCACCCGGCGCGTCGCCCCCCGTCGCCCGTCGTGGCCTGCGCGCGGCCCGTACAGGCAGCGCGCGGCCCGTACGGGCTGCGCCAGGCCCGGACGCGGCCCGTACGGGCTGCGCCAGGCCTTCGTGCGGCCCGTACGGGCTGCGCCAGGCCCGCGCGCGGCTCAGGCCGCCTGCGCGCGGCTCGGGCCGCCTGCGCGCGGCTCGCGCGACTGTGCCAGGCCCGTGGTAGGCCCGTTCCTCGCTGCCCCTGCCCTCCCCGATGTCCCCCAGGCCTCTGCTGGCGCCCCGCCCCTTCTACACCCCGTTCCCCTGGATTAGGGTTTTGGGGTGGGGGGTATGGGGGTGACACCACTATGTGCCGTTCCCTGCTCCTCCTCCTCCTCCATCTCCCTGTGCTGCAGCTGCCGCTGAGGGGGGGTGGACTTGGTGGAGCCATAGGAGTGGTACTAAGTGGGGGTGAAGGGGGAGTGGAGCTAGGGGTGTAGCAGCGGGTGTGTGTCAGGGGGGGTGAGACTGTTTGGGAAGCTGCACGGAGGTTGCCGTCGTATCGCCAGCAGCACCTGTAGTCCGGGGAGTTGCTCCGGTAGCACAGTCGTAGCCAGCTGTGCCAGCCGCCCGTGGGTCCGTTGCTCGTCTGCCGCTACTTTAGCCGCGGGGCCAGTTACTCCAGTATTCTGGAGCGTTGTTCCGGTAGCCGCTATGTCAGTGTGCCTCCTGTTGCCAGTGTGTCTGCAGCTTCATCCGTCGCCTCCTATCTCCTCTCCTCTCACTCTCTCTCCTCCTCCTCACTTGCCCGTTGTAACTACCACTAGCTTTGCTCATAATTGTGAACTTTAAACTATTGCTTCTTGAACTTGTGCTCAGAATGTGTGGTGACATTGTGATCCACCCTGAGCTTGTACTGCTTTGCTTGCTCTGCTGATTACACCCAAATTTGGCTATGGGGGTGTGTCAGAATGTTATCTTATGCTCTAGCCTGTAGTGGGGTGCTCTATAGCGAGTACAACCCTTCTAGGGTTTCCTATTTGTATCCCCATTCTTGCTAGTGCAGCCCTCTTCTCTCTTCTAATTTTCACACCTTCTGTCGTGCACAGGGCATCCGCCAGACCTTCACGCTTCCGGCCTCTCCACAGCAAAATGGGATTGCTGAGCGCCGCATTGGCATGGTCATGGAAGTCGCGCGTACGTCCATGATCCATGCAGCTGCCCCCCATTTTCTGTGGCCGTTTGCGGTTCAGTACGCAGCGCATGAGCTCAACCTTCAGCCCCGGGTCTCCTTGCCAGAGACCTCCCCCACTTTGCGGTGGACAGGGAAGGTTGGCGATGCGTCTACGTTTCGGGTCTGGGGATCTCGGGCGTTTGTCCGCGACTTCTCTACGGACAAGCTGTCCCCCCGTGCTGTTCCCTGCGTCTTCCTTGGCTTCCCCCCTGACGCGCCTAGGTGGCAGTTTTACCACCCCACCTCGCGCCGTATTCTGTCCTCCCAGGACGTCACCTTTGACGAGTCGGTGCCTTACTACCGTCTCTTCCCCTACCGCACTGGGCCCCTCCCCCCGCCGCCGCTCTTCCTTGCGCCAGGTCCTCCCCCGGTAGACCCTCTCCCCCCTCAAGGTCCTGCCCCGTCAGGTGTGTCCCAGGTAGACGCAGTCGAGCCTGTCGTGGTAGCTGTTGACTCTGGTGCTGCTAGAGCTGCTGAGCATGCGGGTGCCAGGTCTGGAGGTGCTGAGCCTGAGGGTGCGGAGCCTGGGGGTGCTGAGTCCTGGGGTGCGGAGCCTGGAGGTGCTGAGCCTGTGGGTGCTGAGTCTGGGGGTGCTGAGTCTGGGGGTGCTGAGCCTGGGGGTGCTGTCCCTGGGGGTGCGGAGCCTGGGGGTACTGGGTCTGCTCGTGTAGCCTCTTGCGGTGCTTCGTCGAGGCGGGAGCTACTCTCTCCGCAGGAGCTGCGCGAGTGGTTTGCCCGGCGCTGGAGCCGTGCTGCTGGAGCCGGAGTTGCTACTGTTGCTGCTAGTCCCGGAGGTGCTCGTACTGGCGGTACTAGAGCTGCTGGGACTGGGGGTGCTGCTGGGGCTGCTGGAGTTGGTCCTACTGGAGGTACTGCTGGAGCTGCTGGCGGTACTGGACCTGCCGGTTCTGCTGGAGTTGGTGCTGCTGGAGCTGCTGGAGCTGGAGCTGCTGGGGGTGTTGGCGCTGGTGGTTCTGCTGGCGCTGGAGCGTCTGAGGGTGCTGGAGTTGGCGCTGTTGGAGCTGGAGGTGCTGCTGGCGCTGGTGCTGCTGCTGGGGGTACTGGTGCTGTCCCTACTGGTTCTGGAGGCGCTGCGCGGCCGAGGCCGTACTTCGTTCCGCTCCTCGAGCAGGTTCTTGGTCTCCCGCCCTCTACTGGTCCTGCTCCTCCCTTAGAGTGTCCACAGCCTGTCCAGTCGCAGTCACATTTCCAGCCCGCCTCCCCCCTACCTGCTCCTTCTCCCTACACTGGTCCTACTGGAGGTCTTGCTGAGCGTTGTGAGCCTGCGTCTCGTCGTGCGTCGCCTGTTCGTGCTGCTCGCACTAGTGGTTGTGCTCCGCGTCCGCGTCCTCCTGCAGTCCCAGGCACACACCGGATGGCACTGCGTCCTTCCACTGCTCCTCTGCGTGTCCCGTTGCCGTCTCCTCCAGAGTCCTCTCTTCCTGTTCTCCCTGACCCGGTCTCTGACTCTGTTCGTGCTGCCAGTCCTACTGTCACGTGTCTCCTGGCTACTGTTGTCACTGACCCTTCCTTTGAGTCCACTGCTGCGTCGGCCCTAGCTGCTGAGCTTGTGGACTTTGCTTCTCGCTGTCGTCTAGGCTACGCCGCTAGTCTCGTTGCTAATTGAGAGTCTATCTGTCCTCCGTCCGTCGGGGGTGAGTGTGCTCTTAGCACGGACGTCCTTGAGGACAGGCAGGAGGAGTTCCAGTGTTTTGCTGCTGCTTTGCCTCATCTCGTGTCCACACTGATTGCCCCTGAGGGAGACCCGGATGCACCAGACATCCCGACTCCTCGATCGTACGCTGAGGCGATCGAGGGTCCCTACTCCTCTCAGTGGCAGTCAGCCATGGACGCAGAGATGGCTTCCTGGAAGTCCACAGGCACCTACGTCGACGAGGTTCCTCCACCTGGGGCTAACATCGTCAGTGGCATGTGGATTTTCAGGGTGAAGCGGCCGCCGGGTTCTCCGCCTGTCTTCAAGGCGCGTTACGTCGCTCGAGGCTTCAGTCAGCGGCAGGGAGTTGACTACTTTCAGACCTTCTCTCCCACCCCGAAGATGACCACTCTTCGGGTGCTGCTGCACATAGCCGCTCAGCGCGACAATGAGCTTCACTCTCTTGACTTCAGCACAGCTTTCCTGCAGGGTGTTGGATAAATACCTCAGCAGCCTGAAATATGAGATTCAGTACGAGGTGCACCGATGTCGCCCGTCGATGTTCCTGGAAGCTGTACGGCTGGCAGAGTCTACATGTGCAATAATGCAGTGGAAGAGGGCACGTTCCTAGGAGGGAAACCGTTTTGCGGCTAGAACCAATGGGCCACAATCAACAGAGTCCATGCACCCAATCGCCCCTTTACGGGGTTGTGTTGTAAGTGTGGGAAGCCGGATCACATAATGAGAATGCCCCGAGAAAACGTCGGTGAAGAGGAACGACGGCAAGGAGCAGGAAATTGGGAAGAGTCAGTAAATAACGGGTCCCTTACTAACTGATTCATGCAATTGATCGCACTCGGCTGAATAACAGGGATAACCATGTGGATCACTGTGTGCTGGTTGTTGGCATGGTATTGATGTCAAGAACTAATAGCAGGGATGAATGAACAAGAAGCAGGATGGGTACAAGTACTAACCCTAATTGGGTTGTACCCCATATGGGCTACCCCACTACAGCCTACACAATATGTAGCATATGAGTTTGACACACCCCCATAGGCAAAGTGGGGGAGAACAAGAGGTCACAAGACCGGTCAAGAAAAGCAAAGCAAGCTTAGGGTGGATCACGAAGTCACCACACACTATGAGCACAAGCAAATGGCCACAAGGCCAGTTAACATACAGAGTCATATAAAGCAGAACAAGCAATACAGTGATCAAAACCTAACAAGGGTAAGCATGCAGGTATAAGCATATAGATCACAGTACAAGCAAATTCAACAAGTGAGCAAGTGAGGCCAAGTAAGCACAAGTCCTAGAACAGTGCAAAAACGCTGATGATCACAAGGCTGAAGTGCCTTGGTGAAGATATCAGTAGTGTTGGCCCGAGAGGCCTCGTAAGCAAGACGAAGCTGTCCACACTGCTGCAACTCTCGAGCAAAGAAGTAACGCAGAGTGATGTGCTTCGTCCTATGCTCCAGTTTG